ACCTTTCACCGTGCCACACGATTCTTTCCCGAAGCGCTCTCTCAGACGTTTCCACTTCTGCCCCCGCAAGCAAAGAGGTTTCATTCAATCCCATCTCCAGAAGGACACAGTGGGGAAGATAGTTTTGAGAAGGAGAAACGGCATGAGAAAGATGCGGTGTAGTTCGTCTCAGAATCAAGAAACTCCATGAAGACTCGCTTTCGTTACGGCACAGGTGGGTTCCCTTAACCAAGCCACTGCCTATGAGTCGCCGGCTCATTCTTCAACAGGCACAGAAATGAATGATGGGCTCTTTCTTTCACTGCTAACCCCAAGAAGTTTCAACATGTTGATACTTTAAGTTTCGTCCAGCCCCGAGCTTGTGGTCCTCCTTTTAGTGTGGGTTCAATTAGAAATACTGTATCGGGTCTGACTTTTTTTTTCGATGACTCCCTGTGCAAACAATAAGTCTGAGTCCTATATGTTTCCCGGGAGCACATACACAAATGGAATTTGTACGATACAAAAGAAATTTAACATACTATTTTTACTTTTTTTTTTAAGATTTCAAGTCGATTTTTGGCTCCGTAACTTCGGGATCAACCTCAATGAATTACAAATTGGAATTTGAAACAATCGAGATCATTCAAATTTCACACTGAACTTTTGATATATACGTCCCATTACTAATTCAAGGAAAGAGGATATTAATAAGATCAAACAAGGGTCCATCTCTCTTAGCGCCTTTTGAAGGCCCTTTCTATTCTCTTTTTAGTATGGTTCCACTATAAGAACACTAAATGCCCAGCTTCGCAGAGCAGCTCTCAGAAAGAGCTTAACTGATTGCTCGGCTTTCTATTTATTTTTTCATAAAATCAATATTAAAATGTCAACTTTAGGCTTTGTGAATTAAGGAGGACTCATATGATTCTCCTTCCCCGACTTCGGTTCTGTCTCCTGGTTTTCCGCGGGACCACCTACCACTAGTTTTCGACCGGAGTGGTTTATTGCACAAAAACGTTGGGACGCAGGCCCCCGAACAGGGAAGCCCAACGAATTTCAGATGCAAAGCCTCACACCTCATTAAGATCATATTGGCATACTCTAAAAAAAAAACCTTAGCTTCAAGATCTCAGTTTGCACCAACCAGGATTTCAGCTCTCATCAGGAGTCGATTGCATTCATAAAAAGTATCTAATGAATTATGAGTTCAATACATCCTTTTTAGCAGAAAGACGGACATTCTCCCCTTCTTTTTACTAAACCGTGGGGAGCCCCGAGTAGTACCGGGCCGCATGCTGGCTGATGACCTGATCCAAAAACTGGTTCAAGTTGCGGAAATCGAAATCCGAGCGAAATAATCCCCGGCGGAAGATTTCGGCTTGGACCAGTTTTTCAAGGACCCCCCGGAAACCCTGTCAAATAGAGATTTTTTCTTTCGACCATCGTTCGATTGTTAATACGATATATAAGGACCACTGCTACAAATAGTACTACACCCGTGAAATATCGATTGCTTGTTGAACCCTGTGTGATAAGGGTTTTGTGAAATCTTCTAAGATGTTAATGGGTAAAAGGATTGGAGTTGTTTGAATGTATTTACCAAAATAACCCAATCCTTTTTTGCTAAGACCCGCATAGAAATATGCTACTGATGGGGGGAACGAGCCCGATAGGGTCCCCCCACTGACTGAATCTTTAATAGTCAAAAGGCCTAGAAAGGACGGATCGGACACCGCAAATCGTTATTGGAGTCACCATTTCCGTAGAGGTCTTTTGACTTTCGTTTGGGCCATGGTGGCCAGTGCTCCTAAGATCATGGTAAATAGAAGATTCAAGAGGCYCCTAATGATCAATATAAATACGAATGAGCCGACTTGATATTTGGGCATTATAACTACAAAGAAGACTTTTTAGATTTTGATCTTTAGTTTAGACTCTGAGTTGTTTTTGGGTGGAAATTTTCTTCGCTACTAGGGGCAACGAAGTTCTTGGTAATTAACAAGGGGGAAGGTGCACGTTTGTGAGAACTTAGTTGGGATGCAATGTATACATACCACATAGGTGGTAGGTTAGGTAGAAAAAAAATATAGTAATTGAAATGACCTAATTATCCAAGTTATTTAATGACTGATAATGATGAATGTAAAATTTACTTTTCTATTGTATAAATAAAAATTAATTTGAGTTGTAAAAATGCTAAAAATATGCAAAGCTAAATAAGTAGATAAACACACGATATTTTTAACGTGGTTCGGTTAACCTATTCCACGAGGCCACGCCCAAAGATTTAAACTAGATTATAAAAAGATTAGTACACAATACAATATTGTCTTATGCATAAATTTAAAAGAACTTCCTTCTTGAATTTTATGCTGCAATCCCTTGCTGTAATCCTTTTGACGATCTACGTTCACAAGCTTCCCTTGTGTTAGATTCAGTGTGCTCAACAACCGTTTATAAAGTTCACCGTCTTCAATCGAAGTCCGTTCTCAATAACCAAAAGAGAACAAATAATCCGTTTTGATTTTCACCAAAAAAGATCAAGCAGTAAGTAAGACAAAATTGAATCGATCAACACGTGAGAAGAATAGTGTTGGTCGATCGATCGAATTGTCTGAACAACATTTCAATATTCAAAGAGTTAAAAAATCACGTAAATATGGAAAAGATTACATTAATCAATTAAAATTAAATGTAGCCAAATCAAAACCATGATCCCTCAAATTTCTCAATCAAATATATGTCAAATTTCAAATAAAGCCGTTGGACAAATTTACCAAAAAGAAATAATTAATGCTTAAGAAAATTATGAAAGAATCCAAAAATAATGACAACAAATAAAACCTTTTCAATCTCCCCTCTATCGTTGTTTTTGGCAAAAACACGTAGCTAAAAAAATCTACAAAATCACCCCATAAAAGTAACATCAAATCAATAAAAACAACTCCGCGAGTGTGATAAAAAAAAAGCTCCCCTTGATTTTGATAAAAACAAGGCCAAAATGGAAAAAGAAAATTAATCACAAAAAAACCATATAACAGGAGTCTTACCAAGAATTGTAATTAAAGACTATAACAAAAAGTAAAAACACAATTAACTAGAAAACTAAAAATTAACACAACACACGCCAACTCCTTTTCTTGAAAAATCGAATCTATTAAAATACAGAGCCTTAGTAAACATATCAGCTAGTTGTTTTTCTGATGAAACATAATCTAAATGAATCAACTTATCATCGACTATATCTTTTATGAAATGATGTCGAATATCAATATATTTAGTACGAAAATGATGAACTGGATTTTTTGAAACATTGATAGTAGTAGTATTGTCATAATAAATAATTAAAGTTTTTGTTTGAGTACTATAATCTTCTAACATTTATTTCATCTATAGAAGTTCAGTATAACAATTTCCTACGCCTATGTACTCAGTTTCAGCAATAGATAGATAAATAGAATTTTGTTTTTTACTACGCCATGACACCAAATTATTTCCCAAATAAAAACAACCTCTCACTAGTACTTTTCCGATCATCTATATTTCCAGTCCAATCAACATCACTAAACCCACATAATCCAAAAGTGAAATCTCTTGAATACCAAAGCCCATAGTTAATGGTCCCATTTACCTACTTTATAATTCTTTTACAGCATTCAAATGAAATTCTTTAGGATTGACTTGATACCTAGCATAGACTCCAATACTATAACATAGATCAAGACGATTTAGCTGTAAGATAAAGTAAGCTTCCTATCATACTTCTATAGAGAGTGAGATCAACATCTACACCATTTTCATCTTTGGTAAGTTTAGTGGTGTACCCATGGGAGTTTTCACATGTTTTCCTAATTCTAACCCAAAATGTTTAACAAGATTTTTAGCAAACTTACTCTGAGTAATAAGCATTCCATTTTTTTATTTGTTTGACCTGGAGACCCAAAAATAATTAAGCTCTCCTACCATGCTCATTTCAATTTTTTTTTTCATATCGTTAACAAACTCTTGAACCCGACTTTCAGAATTATAACCAAACACTACGTCATCAACATAAATTTGATTCCTGAGGTTGATAAAAGAACATCGAAAAACAACTCTATCATTCTGCTAGTTCATACCTAGATCGGTGTCATACACTATAAAATATTAATCAATCCATTAAGTGTTACGTTGTCACATGCCGCGTACAATCCTAAGTCAGACTTCAAGCCAGTCCTTCATTCTGGTCAAGTGGCTTGCCTTATGCAAGAGCCTCAGGCCTAGAGCTTCCCAAGACCCATCCTAGTCAACCACTCCAATTCAATGTAGCTGGTTGTGGCTCTTTTATGATTGACGTATCCTAATTGAAGTACTATAATGTCGTTGTTATAAATGAATCTAACATTTTCTCATCCATAACACTAATAACTATTAATTTTCTCCCAAATACTAACAAAATATTTTTAAAAAATTGAAAATATAAACCATAAAATTAGTAGAAGTTGGATAGTACATTGTAATAATTCTTTTGAGAGGCTATTTAATTTCCAATATTATTTTGGCAACCAATCCTAATTCTAAATTTCCTAAAACCCAAGTGTAGAAAACGGACCATCACAACGCCAAAAAATCGCCAAAACTCGTGGTGATCGGCCCATTCTCTAAATCTTTTTTCTTCCAAAGAAAAATACTCTTCACATTCTTTCCTTCCCATTTCCTCGGCTCTGCCAATTCTCCTCCGGATCTTCCTTCTCTCTGCAAATTCCGACCGCCACCATGAGCAAAGGACCTGGACTTTTCTCCGACATCGGCAAAAAAGCCAAAGGTAATCGTCTAATCTACAGTCTTCTTTGTTTTCTCTCCGATTCTGCTCTTGAATCCCCCTCGATTTGCAATCTCTGCCGCCTCAGCCATCGGAATATTAATCGTTGCTGTTTTTCCTTAGATCTTCTCACCAGGGACTACATCTCCGATCAGAAATTCTCTGTCTCCACTTATAGCCATGCTGGAGTGGTAAGAATGCCACAGTTAGCGTTTTTTGATTTGTTCTGCTGTTTTCGGTTCTCTGGGGCATGCTGCGAAAGGTCTAGGTCGTCAGTTATTAGGATTTGGATTCGCTTTTATGTATCCGTATTCTGTTGTGTAATGATGTGGTAGTTTGGGATGATTATGCAATTGTACTGTTTGACTTATTTTCGGAATTGGATGAATGCTCCAATGTTTTCGAACTTCTAGGGCAGATGTTTCTGTTAGGATCTACGATTGAATGGCCGTCTATAAGGCTCCTTGTTGATTAGTAAGTCGATTGGATTTGAACTAGGCATTGTACAGCCCACTTTTTTTTAATTTCTACCGTCACTTGGTGCTTCTTTCTGCTGTTATAGGTTTTTCATTGCTATTGAATTTGGCTATCTAAATTCAACTGTTACTGTCCTGTGTTTTTCCTTCTAACTTCAAGTTTTCTATGAATTTTTGCTGCTTTGAATTATATGTTAATGTCTTTTAAGCTGAAATCATGGTTTTTGAGTTCATTTCTCTGCTAGATTCCTTCTCCAATTGCTAGTGCATACTAGGTAGTTAAATTAAGGAGCAACTTCATGCCAAACTATATTCATATGTATTGTTCTTCCTCTTGTAGGTCCTCACCTCAACAGCAGTGAAGAAAGGGGGGCTTTCAACTGGGGATATTGCTGCGCTGTACAAGTACAAGAATGTTACATTTGATGTCAAAGTTGATACAGAATCAAATGTGGGTTGTTTTGCTTTCTCAGCCATATTTATTTTGCATTTGTTTTCTCTGGACTTGGTTCATGTTACACATCCTTTGTGTTTTCATCTTACACATTCTTTTGTTTTTGCCAGATATCTACTATCATCACTTTAAATGAGATTCTCCCATCCACAAAGACTATTGCTTCAGTTAAATTGCCTGATCATAACTCTGGCAAGGTAGAATGCAGCATTCTTTCTGTTAGAGTGTAGGTGATCTCTTTTACACTTAAAATGGCCAATATCCGATTATTTTCCTTCTTGCAGCTGGAGGTTCAATATTTCCATGACCACGCAACCTTCACGACTGCAGTTGCCTTGAACCAAAACCCCTTCATTGATGTTTCAGCCACCATTGGTACTCCAAGCATTGCCTTTGGAGCAGAAGCAGGTTATGACACCACTTCTGGTAAATTTACTAAGTATGCTGCTGGCATTAGCGTGTCAAAACCCGATTCATCTGCATCGGTTTTCTTGTAAGATATCATTCCATTGGCTAAAGATCAGTTTTGTCAAATTCTGCAACTTCATTATTGTCTTGGATCTGTTGCACATTCTAATCCATAGCTTCTCTCCCCATTAAAGAGGTGACAAGGGAGACTCTATAAAAGCTTCCTACGTGCACCATTTGGATCAGCTCAAGAAGAGTGCTGCAGTGGGAGAGATTATTCGGAGATTCTCGACGAACGAGAATACTTTCACGGTAGGAGGGTCGTATGCTGTTGATCATCTGACAGTGGTGAAGGCAAAGCTGAACAACAATGGGAAGCTTGGTGCACTCCTCCAGCATGAAATTGTTCCAAAATCTTTGTTGACCATCTCTGGTGAGATTGACACCAAGGCATTGGACAGAATTCCCAAATTCGGTTTGGCTGTTGCCCTCAAGCCCTAGTTTTTTGCAAAGGTTTTTTTGTGAAGAGGACTCAAATTCTTGCGTTGCTCGTGAAAAAGAAAGAGCACCCAATAAGTAGTTCCACAGATCCATTTGTTTAGGTTTTTCCAATGCTGTGGATTGTTTGTTACTATTTTTCCCTCCCTTTATTTTGTTGGTTTTCCTTTTTAGGCTTTTGGAGGCATTTGGTCATCTTGACAACCTAATATCTTCTTAAATTGGAGAGAGTTCATGATTCTTGATTGAGTCAAAATGTTCTAATTTCGTTGCTTTTCTTTTTCTTTTATTATTTTTTGGCTTATTTACATTAGGATCTTGTGAATTTTGTTTTTAAAATAATATATATGACTTTTTTAGATAAGATCTCGTTGATCTTTATTTACAAATATAAAGAGAGCCAAATAAGAATAAATCTAAGTTGGAATTATTAGTCTAAAAAAATCGAGAGAATACGAAAAATATCAATAAAATATCACTAATATAAATATTAATCATTCTTAACTTAGTTATAAAGAGTATTTTGATTTATTAGTTAATTTAAATATATTTTTTTAAAAGCTACTCATTGGTATTGTTATTTTATCGATATTTCTATGAAATTGAGACCTCGATATTTAAAACTTTAGCTAAAATAGTTTTAAAACTTTAGTTAAAATAGTTTGTATGGGGAGTATGTCCACCTCAGAAAGTAGCGATATTGCTAAATTCTTCTTCAAGTCCTTGTGGCCATTGCATCTTTATCCTTATTCTTCATTTTCCACATCCAACATGTGAACGTAATAATAATAATAATAATAATAATAATAATAATAATAATAATAATAATAATAATAATGAGGAAATAATGAAATAGGTCATCAATAGGATCGCCTATCCAAACTCATCTTTGCATTTTTTTTTTCACTTTGTAAATGTTAATCTTTGTTGATATTATTTGATACTGTTTGAGTTTGGGTCGGACCGACCCAATCTCGGACTTGACTTATTGGATCAAATTTTGAATTGGGCTTGGCCCATTAAATTAAAAAAAATTTATAAACCTCTCTTTTGATTAAATTTTACTTTGAAGCTTTAGTTACTTTTTACTGAAAAAATTATTGATATTATATGTTTTCTTTTATTTGTTTAATTTCAATAAACACTATTATTAAGTTATATTTTTCAAAAATAAATTAAAGAGTTCATTTATATATATATAATTGATTCATTAAAACTATGGTGGAGGTTTTCTTCCATCATTTGCTATATCATTAAAATTATGGTTGGGGGGTTGGCATTAGAACATTAGTGATGCCCCTACCAAGTATGTTGGTTGGAAGTATCAATACTCTAATGGAAGAAAATTTTCACAAGAATGTATACTACTCCCATTCATCATCAACCATCTCGATGTCAACCATATATTACCTATGAAGGACATATTACCATATATTACCTATGAAGGACATATTTCATCGCATTGCAAGTATGTGAACAATAACAAATAAACACATGTTATTAGGATTCACCATCGGTTTCCACATATAACACCAAACTAAAAGAAGCGGGAGAAAAATATACGACATGTGTACCTAAAATCATATGGTCTAAGGATGCTTGAAAATGCATTCATAAAGCTTGGTGCAAATCTAACCATATAGAAAGACCAAATGCAAATTGTCGAGGATAAAGTATAGCGACTAAATACATAATAGCTATTCTATGATTTCTAATTGATTGATCAAAATTAACTTCTTGGGCTGAAATATTTGAAAATGCCCATAAATACATCAATTAAGCCTATGGTTGTGTAACATGGTATATGGTATACAAAATATGAAAAAATAAGTTTCATATGGACCGAAATACATTTACGTTGTTGTAGAAATAGTTCAGTGGTAATTGACATATATTTCTAGCCAAAAGATTGTGAATTCGATCCCCCACCACTACATGTACTAAAAAAAAAGAAAAACAAACCTATAATATGGGATAAACAAACAATAATTCAAACATAGATTCAACTCCTTGACTCCAAATTACAAGAATTCAGGGATTCTTCTAGTCACTAAGAAATCGGTTAACATTCTGTAAATTAGCAATGATGGGTCCATAGCCTTAAAATGGAACTGGTTTCTACTTTACCAAAACAAATAATAGTATTTCATTTTGGATCAAAATTCATTTGCAAAACAGAGAGACTTCTAAAACATAATTTTCATACAATAGAAAAAAAACCAATAACTATTAATTTGGTACTCTTCTATGGTTTCAGAAACATAATATGAAAAAAGAACAATAACAAGACTATCTTTGAAGAATGGCCTTCAGTCAAGGTAAAATAACAAAAACTTCACTCAACTTTCAAGGCAAAATATTGGTATAAATTCAAAGTGCAACCCCCTCTAGGCCCTAGAATCTAATTCATATGTTGTAATGTAATGAGCTAAAATAAATCCAAACCTCTAATAAACATACAAAAATTTACTACTGATAGGGAAATCTTCAAAGGGGAATAAAAGGCACTATACGGTGAAAGGGCTTCAATGCATCAAGGGTTCAAATCTTGATAAAAGCAACAAAGCAGAGTTCTTGAAATTTGAAACCCAAATGGTTAAACAGTTCAAAGTCACAATTGCTTAATGTTCTTCAACAATCATCACTGCCGTCCGGAAGTCAAATAATCTCAATATCAGATAACAATTTTCAATTCAGAGAATAAGAACAGAGGTATTAACAAAAGGAATCTTATGATATTGCATTGAAAAACAACCAAAAATCCAGGTACCGAGAGCAACTGAAGAACTCAAAGCATTAAAACAATAAAACATTGTCATCGTCTATTCGGAGGAATAGAAAACAAAAAAGCATTAAGTTATCAAAACAGAGAAAGGGATAGAACTAAGGAGATAACTTGCAAAAATTTTCACCAGATCAAAATTAGTCGACGCTTTGCATGATATCCTCCGCGGTGAATTTAGTGCCCTTATCCTTATCGGCAGAAGCGCGACCCTTGGCCTTACGATCGAGCAGCGACTTGCGGTCCTTGTCGAGCTTGAGCTTCGTGATCATAACCTTGGAGGGATTGATTCCGACGTTGACGGTGGAGCCGTTCACCTTCTCCCTGGTGATCCGCTCGATGTGGATGACCCACTTCCGACGGTAGACCTGCACGACCTTGCCTTCACGGCCTTTGTAGGTCCCTCTCAAGACCTGAACCTCGTCGTCCTTGCGAACCGGCATCGAGCGGACATTGTACTTGGAGCGCAGGTCGCCGGAGAGGGGGGCGCTCATCAGAATCCGGCGGACGCTCGACGGCGCCGTGAAGTGGGCCTTGCGGTTCTTGCGGCGGGAGCTGGAGACTCTAGGGTTGTACTTCATTGCGATTCGATTAGGGTTTTGCCGCTCTCTCTCTGAATCTGTGGAACAATGCTGAAAGGCCCGGAAAAAAGAAACCCTAATCCCTTTTATTTGGAGGAATTGGAAAATTGGACTCGACACATATTTACCAAAATACCCTCAATCTATAATTTCCAATTTTCTCCCTCATTTCATTTGAGGTTATTTTATTTTGGTCAACGTTTTAAATGTGGAAACGTCGAGATCTCAATTTCATGGAAATATAGATAAAATGTCGACGTTGATGGATATTTCTGTAAAAGTTAAAAAAAAACTTAAAAAATCGTAAAAAATATTTAAATTAACAAATAAATATTTTCCTATTTTTAAATTATTTAAAAATAATTAATATTAATGTTATGTATATATTAGTGATATTTTGTTGACATTTTTTTTTATATTTTATCGATTTTCTTGTACTATGATGGAAATGTCGATTTATGGAAACATGGATATGTCGATGGAAATATCAACGAATATTTAGAACCATGATTTTGGTTTGCAAAAGTTTCGAAATGTTTATTTGAGTAATTAGAGTTGGAGATGAGGATATATATATATATATATATATATATATATTCTTTTTCGAATTAGTTTTTGAAGTAGGGATAGGAATGTATTTTCCCTGCTGCCTATGTTCCAATCATAAATTTTTTAATCATTTTTGTTATGTTTATAAAATGCTAAGATTTATTAAATACCTTTATAATTATAAATGCTAAGATTTGTTAATCGCTACAAATTATAATTATTATAGCAAATTAGTTCTCTCAATTTTATTGTAAAAGTCTGTATTTTATATGTTATTTAACATTTAGGTAAAAAATAAATAAATAACGATAATAATAACATAAGCAATGTATATCACAGAGTGATAAGAAAATCTAATGACTTAAAAAAAATGATCAACCTAATCTAATCTATAGTTTTAAAAAAAAATTTGATGAATGAAAAAAAAAGTTGATAATCCCAATTCAAACTATATAGATTAGATTTAATTTCAAATTTGTCTACATCCTTGTGGGTTTGATTGATTTATGAATTCTCTTAAAATTAACTTGAATTGAGTGGAACCATCTTCCAACTTATTGTTAACTAAAAACATCCATTGCTTATTAAAAAATTACACATATATTTTAAATTTCATTGAATCTAATAATTATTTTTATATTTTTCCCCTCCAAGGATTTTAGAAAAAGAATTGGCCTGACTTTTTGAATAACTGAGAAACACTTTTAATAAATTAAAAACACCTTAAAAATTGATCAGAATATTAGAGCATTACGTTTGATTGGTGATTTGTCGAATACAATAGCAGATTTTAAAATTAAACCTTAATTTAAAAATTATTTGTTTAATAATAAATTTGTAGGATAATCTAATTACGAATTAAATACTTAGTTCAATATAAAATAGTATTAATTAATTTATTAACATATATGTTATAAATTTGGTGTAATTATTATTTTACATTATTATAATTTATAATATATTATGTTTTACCTATTTTAATTTTAATAAAATGAAATGAATTTATGAAATATTATATTTATCAAAATTTTTATCAAAGCATTTTAAAGTTTCAAATTCAGCATGAAAACTAGACATACAAAAATCTCTACGGTTTGGATTACATAATCCAAAAACAGATACCAAACACATATCCATTTGATTCATTAAATCTGAAAACAAAATTCTCTACCAAACAAACCCTTAATTCCATAGCTCTTTCTTTCGGAGGGAGCGGTTAACAATATGCTTTTAAATTAAGCACTTCTATATATTAGATGCAAAAATCATCATCAACTAGTTATCTTTAGAGCAAATAACACTTTTAACTTCTAAGTTTTTATTTTATTGTCTATTTGATTCAACCTCTAAGTTTTGCAAAATAGTTTCATTTGGTCTCTTGCAATAACGAAAAGCTGAGTATTTTTTCGAAAAGTGTATATATATAAAATTGATGTTCTAGTATAAAGAATTAATTTTTTACTTTTAATTTTGCTGATATAGCAAAAACTATTGTGTTTTAAAAGAATCCCTAATTGAACACCAAAATGCAAAACTAAACACAGGAAAAAAAAAAAAAATCCTTCCTATCTGCTTCAAACCCAAAAGATAATAATAATAAAAATAAGAACAAAATAAAATTTCTTCCTTCTACTCTAACCCAGAAAATTAAAATTAAAATTAAAAAAAAGGACCAAATAAGAGTTTTCTAGGGAAGAAAAAAACAATTATGAACTCAGACTGAGATGCTGCATACTGCAAACATATAAAACAGCATCTCCACAAAAAAGTCTAAGAATTGGTTTCCAAAATCTAATGTTTAGAATGTAACTTCATTTCCCTAGCAATAGATGGTAACCATTTTTCTCCTCTTACCTTTTTCAGCTCTGCTACCCTTTCCTCCTCTCTTTTGGCAGCTGCTTTGGCTGCTGCTTCTCTAGCTTCAAGCCTCACAACTGATTTCTCACATGCACGTTTCGCACTAGCGATTATGTCTCTTCCATCAACGGCCACGGATTGGAGCCGTTGCTTGAACTTTAAGGAGATAGGAAAAGAGAGATGATAGTATTAACAAAATGTGGACCAATGATAAGCAATAAAAATGGTGGATATGAGTGATGATAACCTTCTTCGATTTCTCGTTGATTTCTTTCCCGGGGATAATTTTCGGTCTCTTTGTGGGACGTTCGAGCTCATCTGAAGGTATTATACATGTAACGTTAAGAACTTTCATTGGAATCCGTAGTATAAAGGACATGAATAACACTGTAAGGTATATATGCTTGTAATAATTGTTGGGGTTCTAATTAGAGTTGGGCAAATATAACAGACATGCATGCAAAAGTTCATCTGGAAATTTTCTAACTCAAAAATTTGATGACCTTTACAATAGAGCAGATGCAGTACGTGTCGGTTGCAAATGCAAGTTTTTGCACTATTTCAAAATTACAAAATTCTCTTGAATTGGCATACCAAGAGTGCCCCCAAAGAACAACCTCGTTGGTAAGAGCTTAGGGTCTCTTGATCATTCCAGTTTAAAGGTTTGAAGTTCGAACCTTTGGGTGAGCTTAATACAAAAGTTTCTTCATGTCTCCTAAGTCTGGGCCTTAGGACAGACACGGTGCCCTCGGGGGTATAGGGAGGTAAATTTAAGACTCCCAGTTATATTAAGGAAAAAAAAAAGAAAACCAAAAGTACTTGGAATTTAATTAATTCCACCAAATCCACCAAGCTAGAAAACTTGTCTTCAAACAATCTTCAAATCCGTTCCACCTAAATTCTCCAAAACAGTGGTTTAATCAAACTGATCATAAGACCTTTGCTTCCTTTTAAAACAGTGACCTTCACCAAATAGTTGAAGTAGATCATTCTTAACATTTGCATCAAAAGCCCAAGCAATTTCTGATTTCTTGCAACACAAGTCCCATACTTTTCTGCGATGAACACTGAAAAAAAACACACAGGAGCTCTCTTTCCCTGCTGCGAATGAAGCAAAGACATTCTTGGGCCAATATACGAGAAAGGACACTGCTTTTTAAGCTTGTCTGCTGTGTTAGTATCCCAAAAGCAAAATCCAAATCAGGAAATTGACTTTTCTTGGACTATTAGTTTTCCATACACGATGACCAAAAACATCCTTTACTATCCTCTCTTTTTTCGAGAATAACCTCATAAATCAGCAGGAAAAAATAACAAAATTCTTCCAATTCCTCACCGCTAGCATTTCTTCTGGTAGTAAATTTTCAAAAATGTGTTTTCTCATTCCGTACATCCAAAACAAGAGGCTAATTTAGACACAGAAATTTCATAAATTTTTGGAAAACAGCATAAAGGAGCTGTTTTTGTATCCAAATATCCTTCCAAAGAGATGATTCCCAATCCCAATATTAAAACGAAGAGAACTTCAGAATCAGAATAAGGTCTTTTTTCTTCATAATATTTCCCTAAAGGCAGTCAGGCACCTTGAACATCCGATCATCCTCAATTTAGAAAACCACTCAAGATCATCTAAACCATAATCCATAATTACTCACGAACACTTATGCAACAAGCTATTATCTTCTATTGGAAACCTCCAATTCCAAAGCCATTTAACTTATAATGCATTGCATCATTCTTCAAGTTACAAGTAGTACCCAAACTTCAACTACATAACGATAAAGATTTTACCATCATGTTCCACCCAACTAAGTTCCTCAATCTATTTTCCTCAAAACCGCTCCACAGAAGATTTTGTTTTCAATTTTCCAAGCCACCTTTCTTGGCAATTGGAAAATGGACATATAATAAATAGTAAGATGAGAAAGCACCAAATTGATTAGTATCATCCTTCTTTGGCTTCTTGACTAATTGTCAGGAATGAGAACTCTGCCCTCTTGGCTAAGTATTTCGGGTGCTTTCTTTTAGAACCTTATGATCTCTAGCAAAACAATCACTGTCAGCAAGTATGGATGCCTAAATAAAATCATTGTTAGCAGTATGAGTGTCACCCTAGTAGATGGGATACTTCTATTGTGAGTCGTGACTAAAGGAACATTCAAGAATCCTTGGAAAGCTATCTCCCCTAGTCTTCCACGTTTTAATAACTTCATAAAGTTAACTGTAGGGGACAGGTCTCTCACAATTCTTGGTGAATCATTATTGGCAATGACTCTCTTGAAACCAATTTCCCTTGTCCTTATGTCCTCTTTCTTAAGAAAGATGAGTTTTTTATCTATGTTTTGTCTCTTACTGGTGATCCTCTGTCCCTCTCTGACAACGTTCATTTCAGAAAACCCCTGTTATAACAAGAAACCTTCGATTTATCTGCCGCTTTGATTCCCTTGATTCTTTTTTTTTTCTTTTTTTGGTCAGAAACAAGCATTTCATTGAGGTATGAAATAACCAAAAAGCCATAAAGGCTAATTTCAAGGGCCTGTCCTTTTGCAAACTGTGCTTGGGGATTTTCTCTAACGAAAACAATAGAACATAACATTAGACATTTGGTAACAGTTAGAGATGAAGTGCATGGACTTCTAGAAATTTATCTAATAACTTGGATCAAGACTACACTTGATAAAAATTACTCTGTACAACAAAAGAGTCAGGTTCGTGACCAAATCTTCACCCCTATTGCAAAATGAAAGTGTAAGGTATCTCCTTACAATATTGATATTAAAAACAGAAGAATTCTACCCTTGGGCATACAACAAGGTGCCCAACGGTTAGAGAGGGTTGGGAGCTCTCCTACCAAAGCTAAACCTTAGCTAAAGAAAAAACATACCTGTCTTAGCTAAGCCCAAAAGTATAAGTACCCCCCTTACAAAAGACTTACCCACACAACTAAGGGGAGTTTACCCCTTTACAACGATAGGGGGTCTCACAGAAAGCTATCGGAAAATGTCCATCACCATAAATGAGGTCACTTTATGTCCCTATTTGTGAGGTTTTCAACTCCTCAGACCTCCTTGCTAAATGGGAGAAGAATCCTTCTTCTAATTCACCAAATGACTACCAACTGCCTAACGTATCCACAAAAACTCATTTTTTTCTCCCAAAGTTTGGCCTCTTTGGTAGGTATTTTCTTCCATAGGAAATAGAAAATAACATTCAAGCACGATCCAAAAGTAAAATAAAGTATAAAAAAAAATAAAATCAGTGGGAGATTAAGCATCCACCCTACCGCAAAAATAGCATAAAATAAAATATAAAAAGTTACCCCAGTTGCCTTTGAAAAAAAGATTGAATAGTTACAAAATAAAGAATACACCAATAAGAACCCAAAATTAATAATAAGATCACAAATTTCTTAACAAAGAAAACTACTATAAATGCAACAAAAATTCATTTCTTTCCTTCGAAAGGACCCATAAAGTAGCTTGACAGCATTTGGCCGACAGCTTTTCATTCTTCTTAGAAGGAAGAAAAAGTAGCTGGTTAGTATCACCCATAAGATTATGAGAAGGCCGTCAATCTAGTTTAAACTCCCACAACAATCTTGTCCAGTATTTGTGGACTCGGCCCTGGTCTAGAAGTAGACATTAAGAAAATGTGAATATTATTCTATGTTTCCTTGTATACACATGACACGTGATAAACCAATTTTGTTGACAGGAAGCTTTTAGATATCCTCTTAAAATGATCTCCAAAGAAGTAGTTCCTCATAGAAGCAAATACCAGATGAAAATTTGATATTCTTTGTATATTTCAGTTTCCACATGAAAGCAAGATCCAACTAGTTTCTTCTCTAGGATTCTGTCTGTAGCTATAGTTGACTAGAGAGAGGACTCAGAAGGGAAGAAACCCGAGCTCTCGAGCAGCCATCTCTGACCATCCCCCTGTTAGCAAGGAAAGTTATTTTCCAAAAGCTCTAATACGAGAGCCCATTCCTGGAGTTTGACTTCTAAAAGTTGCCCTCTAAAATGTAAATTCCATACCCAACATCACTTCTATTACAGTAATTGACACAATGAACTCCTTGGACAAGGCCAATCAAAAGGGCCTAGGGAATCTAGTGCTGAAGTGACTGGTTAATTAACCACAAATAATCCCAGTAAACGAAGGCCTACTATCATCAAAATACGTATCATGAAAATATTTGTTGATCTCTTTCTCAGTTTGCTCGCATTGAAGATGTTTATTCCTTCCTTGGACTGAACATTAATACGAAGCATCTACCAGAGGAAACATCATGCAACATAAAATTGTTTCATCCTTGTAATAGCAATAAAAATCATTAGGAACATAGATTTGGCTTACTATTAGCATTATCTATTATCTACATTTATTAATTAACCATTTAAGGGAGTTGTTGGGAAGCATTTAAACAGTCCTATAACAGGTAGACAATTCTTGGTCAGTCAAATTGATGACTACGATATATAGATATACTTGTCTCATAGCAGTTTAATATATCCAATATAATGGGTCTTAAAAACATGCATCAAAATATCACTACTTCTGTCTCCGTCCTAACTTCTTCAAATAAGAAAATACAGCAAAATCTACTTACCCACGTGATCAAACACAACCCCAATGGGAGCATTTTTAAACAAACGAATTCCACCTACACAGGCCTTGGAATCATCAGAAGGGACAGAAATGGGATGTTCTACCACCTCTAAAGTAGTTTCTAAAATATTCTCCAACACCTTCCGTGCCTGCAAAAAGTCCATCAGTTATTCTTAGAAATTACAAAGTAAATAGTATCTCCATCTGAAGAGAGACATCAATTCAAGTGGATCAGACATGTCTAATCACAGTTATATAATTATATTGTCTAATCGCGTTACAGCGCAAGAAGTCTAAATTTATAGCACTTCATAAGCCGTATTCTCAGTTGTGCTAATTCTCCATATTCAATAAACAATTCCAATAAACCATAAAATGGAGACAAAGTATGTTATGAAGATGTATACTTCTAGTGGTTTCAGATTCAGAGTAGCAACCAATATGCTGAGGTTCGTAGTCATCATCAAGTAATAAAAAGAACTCGAACTCGAAATAGCTCTCAGCCTTCACGGTCAAACCAAATTCAACAATCATCATCTTTCGCATCTCGAATAAACTTCATATGAGTGATAAAAAATGTACACATTTTAACTTCACTAAATTTTTTATCATCTAAATAACATTATATTCCAATCATTCCCGTTCCAACTACTTCACCATAAAATAGCCGCAAAAAATAATAATAATAATAATAATAATAATAAGAAGAGAATAACTGAAAAAAATAAGTTTAATGCTGGAAAGGGGAGATGATGCTACCGAGACCTTGATCTGATATTGCTTGGGCGGCAGAGCAGCGAGATTAAGCTCAGAATCATCGTTCGAGATTGAAGCGGCGGTCGTTGAAGTAAGAGGAACACCATTAGTTAAAGACGAGATGAACACAGATGAAGTAGCAACGGAATCGATGGCGGCTCTCCATTGGGCGTCGCCATCTTCCTCGCCGCTGCTGCTGTCGCCGCCATAGCCGCCGTTTCTCCGATCATCCATTCCGTTGTGGAGGCCGGACCATATTCGGTGCCTAATTCTGGTGGCTTTTGGGCTTCGGATTAAAAAGGCCCATAAAAGAGCGCTCATTTTTATACTTGGGCTATTATCATGGATAGCCCATATTATGAATATTTTTTTTCTTCTTTTAAGAAAATATCATGTATTCCATTTAAAACTAGCAAAAAGAAATGAGAATTTACCACACAAAATAATAATAATAATAATAATAATTCTTTTTTTTTTCCTTTTACTTGTCCGTTAGAAATATTTTAAACGACTAGTGGTATAAAGCTTTGAGAGATTTTTTTTTTTTAAAAAGAAAAAAATAGAATTGCGAAGAAAATTTTGTATGATTGTAATAATTTTTCCACCTAGATTCTTATGCTATTTCCTACTTTTTCATGCTATATAAAAGTGCGAGGTTTTTTTTCCCAACATGTGATTTGTGCATTTTTTTAAATTATCAGTAAGTTGTAACATTGTTTAATTACAACAATTTAATAAGTTTGGGGTATAATTACTCTAAATGGTTCAAGGTACTATCGTAAAAAAATATATCATTATACATATGCTCTTTTGTGTCACATCGTGTCAGATTATCTTAGTTCAATCTCAATACGTCGTAAGTAACGTTAATGATGTCAAAGTGAGTACAGTCCAACAGTAATTGGTATATACCTTCAACGAAGATGTTGTGAGTTTAGATCCCCTCCCCAACATGTTGTACTAAGAAAAAAAGTAACGTTAACGATAAAAACAATTATAATTAGAATCAAGATCAAAGTTCTAGGATTCTAATTTTTTTTTCTATAAGTTAGATGGACTAAAGAAACAACATTACTAAAATTTTGGAATTTAATCCTTATCTACACTATCATATTTAAAAATCTTATTAAAAAAGTGTTTGGTCTTTCCACAACCTCTATATATATATATAACTATTATTGTTGACTAGGTAATTATTGCAACATGCCTTGATTATATAATAAGGTGAGAGCTTAAGGGAGGGGACAACATTAATTTAATCAAATTACATTTTTCAGTCTTTGGTTTCTGTTTGACATGGTTTTAATTTAAACTTTATTATATGGTTGGAAAGTGAGAGAATGTTTAGAAAACACTCAAATAATTGAACAATTAAACAAATTAAATTAACTCTTTGTAGGACTGATTATGCCTTTTCATTCACCTTGAGAGGAAGACTCCAAAATAGTTGTTATTTGGTATCTCCAAATTAAATACTGTTTTTTTTCTCTCTTTTTCATTTTGATGAATAGTGCAATGTGTTGGATAAGTTAACCAAAAATTGACTTGTCAACCAAATCCTTTAATGTCATGAAAGCTATTTGTAAAATTGACTTGACCCTAATATCTATTTTGTTATCATTTTAGTCTTTGATTTTTGATGATCGCATGCAATATAACGAGTTTCAATTACATCCTTGAACATTTTACTAAAAGGTTAGTACCTTCACTTGATTATTGACAGGTATTTAATTAGATTAATTAGTGATAATTTGACACGACGTGATACAAGAAGGTGAGTTAGTTAAATTTAAAAAAGAAAAAGTAGGTGAGCCAAAAAACAAACTCAATTGGACAAACAATAGCAAAATGCATTTTAACTAATTGAGTTAGACTTATATTAGTTAACGTTTATGAACTGACTTCGTTAAGAAAAGCTGCTTGAAAAGTGCTCATATCTTCGCTCTTCTCCCTTCCGCTAATGCGAATATCCCGTTCTTGGTTCTTAAATAAAGATGGGCCTCTCAAAACACAAAGTTGGCAGGCAACCTTTCTTTCTTTATAGTTCGACTAAGTGACTTCGTAACCTTAACTCCCTTTCTTTCTTACTTTAACATAGGCCTTCGCCACTTCAAACGGCCCCTCTTTTCTTTTTTGAATTAGAAAGAACGAGGTCTCGTGCATTGTTGGAACTGGGTTGGAACGCCAAGGGCACTACTAACCAAGCCAAGCCAAGCCTGAAATATGGATCACTAGCCTGAAATACTTGTTTCAGTCTTAGCTCGAATAGGTCGAATACAAAGGGGATAAGATAAATCACTTATATGATCAGTTCGGTGGAAGCCCAACTCGACGCCAATCTAAAGAATCGAATATCAGTAACATAAAATATTCTAACACCAAATACGAAGTGTTAGAAGGACAGGGTCACGTGTCCCAAAGCTCCTCTATACAAAAGGTGAAACCCCTTATTCTCAAAATTACGCAATTTCTACGTAACCAAACCCATATTCAGCTCAACATCATCAATTCAGGCTAAATTATTATTTAAGCTTCATAATGTACCTCACCACACAAGTGCTAGCTAATTCTCTATAAAAATACTCAGCTCGGTTGACCAAACGTAGATTTTGAATCAAAAACTAACATCTCTCACCCCATCCAGAAATCCTCCATTAGAAGTTTAGCATAAATTCAAAGCTTAATTATTTCTTTTCAATCTTTTATATCCAATTTGGAATAGGGTAGCTAAGTCAATAATCCCAACTTATTAAATTGCTACAACTATTCATTTCTGTCGGTATATTAATCTATGTTTATAAATACATGTAAATATACTATATTATATTATATATATGTATATATGAATTATGAATTATGTAGAAATGAGTTGATGAAGGACAAGAAGATTGAGACAAAATAAGACCCAACTGGGGTTTGGGACATAATCATAACCCAACCCACCTTTGAAAGAGACCCATTTCTTTCTTTTTTTAAGTTTCACCAAAAAGCTCTCCATAGGGTACATTTCTTTTGTACTACAAAACATTAATGTTGTTTTCAACCTACCCATTATGCTAATTTGTTTATGTAAATTATAAATACACTCCTACAAACAAAATCAAATTATAAAGCATTTTTAATGCCAATTTACCATATAATTATGAAAGAATATAGTCAATTGTGTCCTACAATTATTGAATTGATAGGATTTTAAAATGTCTTGTTAAAACTTTTGAAGTACGGGATTAGGTAGATAATTAACCTTAGGGCCTTAAAAGGGTGTTTGCGAGGACACGTGTAAAAGTTTGGGAATGTTAAGTTTTAGGGGTTTAATCGAGTGAAATGATTTTTTTATTTCTAATTCACAGTACGCAATTTTTTACTCATGCCTATAATACCCAGAAGATTTACCTGTTGATTCTAGTAAAGGTATCATCTTTTTATCACAACAGACGAAAATCTCCAATTCTGAGAAAGAGGACTTATCTGATCTTTACAAAACATCGATGTCTTAAAAAGCAAAAGTTTAAAAAACATCTATTTGAAGTGTGTAGATTTAGAAAAAATTTGGGTTTATAAAGAAAACTACGAGAAAGAGAGGTGAGTTTGATGAGAGTAGATTAAGAATAATGAACTTTGACCCAACTAATCCTAGCTAGGCTTGACTAAACCTGGTTCGAAACCATCTAAAGCCAAACTGACCCAAACCCGAACTCAAACTCTCACCTCAAACATGAGAAATGTTATTATTACAAAGTTACAAACCTAAGAAAATATCGGAACTAAATAGACACAATCAAAGTCAAGGGACCAATGAGAGAGATGAGAGAGATCAGAAGCAGCTTTTTCGCTTGCCATTTGGCGGTCTCTCTCTCTTGATCTCAAATTCTAGAGAGAGAAAGGGAAAGAGTGGGAAGAGGGCAGTGGAAAGCCAAAACGAAACCCACTAACCTTGTGAATATGATCTCGACATTTCTTAACTTTTTCCCCCAACACTCACTTTTTATATCATCTTCTTTTCCTTTTGTCAGAACCCTCAACATTTTTTTTCTCATCTCACACACCTTTGATTTTTGGTAATGGTGATTAATAATGGATGCCTTATTCTTCAGGCAGCAGCAGCTGGTTTCTGATGTTCAATCTTACAGCAACTCCACCCGAAACGATGTCGTCGTCAACTCGTCGAGTAGCTTCGAAAATTCTGCTACTGATCGTGATCGTAATCAAAATCCTTACTTCCTTGACCAGCCAACACAAGAATGCTTCTCCAGCTTGTCGGTCACGGAGGATGAAGATCATGACCATTTCTCTGCAGCCTCTTCTTCCAACCACTACCGCCATCCTCCACATCCCCATACCGCTACCGTCAGTACTACTTCTATCGGTACGGTTGAACTATCACTTAACTCAAAAAAATTTTTTAATCGTAAGTTGAATTTGATGGGAAATGTTTTAGTTTGAGCGGATGGATAATGATAGAATTTTTTTTTTATAAAACATCGAAATTAAGATCTTCAATTGATGGGTTATGATAATTTATTTTGGAAAATACTTAATATGAGGATCAAATCTTGTCCTTCACCATCATTAAATATTTGACAACTATTTTTACATTTCTCTCTCAGTTATTAGCAGTGATGAAATATTGGTTTATAAAAAATGAGCAAAATTTTTTTCAATTTTTTTTTAAAATAACGGGTGTAAAAAATCTTGAATTGATGGGTCATGGTATAAAGATTTCATTTTTAGAGACTATTGGACCCAAAAGCTTAATTAAACTAGTGAGTTAAAAGTTTACACAAATATAATTTTTAACCTTAGGCTTGAATAAGGTTAAAAAAAAATAAAAAATAATAATAATAACTTTTGCTTGAATGAGTAGTGTAATTAATTCTTTTTAAGAGTTCATATCAATATACGAGACTACTTTTACAGGACATTTTATGGTTAATTTTGAGCTTTTTTTTTTGTTTTTATTTGATTCATTTTGTGGCTAGATATACGAGTATTTTGGTGATTAAATTTGGGCAATTTGGGGTAAAAATGAATTTTCCCTTTTTTTTCTCTTTTAATCCTTAACGGTTATCTCTGCGTGTGGTTAAGGAAATGACCTAATAAAAGATTGTTAATACTAATTAGGGTAGAAATGACAATATTGGAGTTTGAAGACCTCATGTTCTATATCACATTAAACTAACATCAAATCCAAAAAGTTTAATATAGTTCTTATGGATTATAAATATATTAACAGGTACGGCTACTCCAACAGATCAAAGATTCTCCCATTTCATCAAAGACTTGAACTTCAAATTCTCCGACAATTGGGCCTCTGAGTTACTCCTCCAAACAGCCATCGCTATTACCGACAATAACACTTCTCGCATCCAACAATTCATGTGGATGCTCAATGAACTTGGCTCCCCGTACGGCGACACTAACCAAAAGCTGGCTTTCTACTTCCTTCAAGCCATGTTTAGTCGCGTCATTGACTCCGGTGACCGATGCTATCGAAGCTTGGTGGCAGTGTCGGAGAAACGATCTTGTTTCGAGTTAACGAGAAGGATAGAGCTGAAGTTTCAAGAGATGAGTCCATGGATGACTTTTGGTCATGTAGCTTCCAATGGTGCCATAATGGAGGCTTTTGAAGGAGAACGAAAGTTGCACATAATTGATATTAGCAACTCCTTTTGTACCCAATGGCCGACCTTACTCGAAGCTCTTGCGACACGATCAAACGCCGAAATTCCTCACTTGAAGCTAACAATGCTAATTACCGCCAAATCTAATACCACCCTCGAATCTCAGAAGGTGAGAAATTTTACTAGGTCACATAAATTTAGTAATAAAAATCTCTTATCGCAATTCTACTATGTTTTTTACCGGCAAGAGATCAAGGAAATAAAAAAAAAGGATAGAAGAGAGATTTTTTTTTAGTGTTACAAATATGTCTATGTTTAATAAGTTTCAATTTAATTTCATATAGTTCATATATTTTAATATTTTAAAATTATATATTATTGTTAATATTTCAACAGTGCTCAGAAAACAATTTAGAGAAAGAAATATCTTATCTAAACGGAAACTTTTAATTCCTCCTCCTAACTTCTAAGAATGGGTAGA